AAGGAGGTCACCGCCGACATCATGGCAGACACCTCCTCCTGGCTGGAGGCCATGGCCACGCCGCCTCGGCCTGAGCCCAAGAAGCCCGCCAGGCCACAGCCGCCTCCTAAGGCCGAGCCGGACCAAGGGGCGGACTGGACCCCCCCTGCCCAGAAGTGGCAGCGCACGGGAAAGGGCAAGAAGGGGCAGAAAGGCCAGAAGGGCGGCAAGAAAGGAAACAAGGGCGCCGGGAAGGGCCAAGAACGCCAACGTCGTCAGGATGAGCAGCGCCGCGACCAGGCCTGGGACGACTTGGTGGGCGTCGTCGTCCTGGAGCTCTGGCTACGACTGGGAATCGCCAGGCCGCGACCAGGGCGGCAGGGGCGAGAAGAAGCGCGCCCACGCCAACCAATGGCGTTAGGGACAGCACGGGGCCGACGTCGCCTTGGCTGCGTCGGTACCCGACCCGGCGCCCGCCAAACGGGCCAAGCTGAGGCCCAACCGCCCGGAGAGGCGGTCCATCATCGTCCTCTTTCGATGGCATCGGCGCGTCCCACTGGCTGGTGGCCAAGGCCTTCGGGAGGCCCCTGCTCGCTGTTTCCTGGGAGGTCGACCGGGCATGCAAGGCGCTGGTGCAGAAGGCCATGCCCTGGGTGGAGCACAGGGGCGAAGTTACCCGGGACTCGCCTGGGAACGTGGCCGACCTCATTATGGACGCCGACCCCGACGCCCTCGCCTTGATCGTCTGGTGCGCGGCGCCGCCGTGCCAGGACTTCTCTCGGATTGGCCAGGGAGAAGGTCATCAGGGAGACAGGGGCAGGCTTTTCCAGGACTCCGTCAAGTTCATGCACGAGCTCCGCGCCAGGGAGAACGTCGACATGGACCAGGCGGCCGCCAAGGTGATCTCGGACGGGCTCGGGGTCCAGCCGGTCTTCGCCTGCCCGTCCGATTTCGGCTGGGTGTCCAGGCCGCGCCTGTGGTGGACCAGCGTGGACTGGACCAGGTTCCAGGTCGATCCAGACGACGGGGCGGCGCTGGAGTGGGCCGAGAAGGGCAGATGGGAGCGCCTGCGCCTGGCCTCCGCCAGGCCGTCGGCAGACACCTTCGACTTGGGCGGCTTGGCTTTCCACCCTGCCGTCGCGACAGGTCGAGGCCATGCTCCAGGACAGCCAGGGCGTCCTGCACCTCCCCACGGCCGAAATCAAGGAGCAGCCTCGGCGCCCCTCATCCAGCACTCCTAGCCAGGCGCCCGGCGTTGGAGCCGGCCCTCTCGACGCTTATTGACCTCCGACACGACCTTTGCCGCATCCGGCGGGAGGTCATCGCGGAGCTCCTCGTCCTGGTGGAGGAGCGCGAGGACGACACCCGGGCCTGGCTCCAGGAACTGCCGGCCCACGTCAGGGCTACCTACACGACCTCGGACCGCCCCAGGCCCTTCCAGGGGCCAACCTGGGCCTGCTCCGCGACCTCGGCTACCCCGCAACCGCGGACCTTGAGGAGGACCTGCGCCTGGGCTTTGACATGTTGGGGCCGGTCCGGCGCGCACCCGGCTGGAAACCGCGGGCCGACGGGCGTTATTCTAACCCCTCAGGGCTGGATCGCCTGCGGCAGGAGAATCCGCCTTACGTCGCGGCCAAGTGTTCCAGGGGGCGCGCCGGCGTTCACACAGCAGCCCTCTTGGAGGAGCTGGTGCAAGAGGCGGCCGCCTGGGCCCGGTCACCGGCCCTTGCGCCGCTCCCGACCACTGGTCCGTGGCAACCTCGGCGCTGCCCTGGACGGCTGACATGCGCACCTTGCGCCAGCCCCCACTGGGCGACTGCTTCGCCGCCCTCTCCTTCGCCATCTGCCAGGTCGACGAGAACGGGGACCTCAAACTACGCCGGGGCGAAGATTGGCGTCGGCCGGGCCACAACGCCACCATGAGCGCCGAGGACGTCCCCACCCACCACTTCCTGGGCGACATCGTCGACTTCATCCTGGCCGCCTGGTGCGAGGGTTGGGACCCGAAGGTTTTCGGCCATGACCTTCAGAACGCCTACCGCCAGTGGGCGGTGCGTTGCCCTGGTCATTGCGGGACGTTCCTCCCCACCGA